CAAGAATTAGCAAAATAGGGGTTCGGGCGCTTTTCAAAAATAGTACCGGACGCTGTTCCTCTTGTGACGTCATAGCTCCGTGACCTGACCTGACCCGGTCAAGTTTCTTATACCATATGATAGCCAATACTTGCCCCAACATGCATGGGAAGTTTCATCACGATCCATCAACCGATGTCCGTACCACCGGCAGGAAACCTCGGGCGTTGGCACTCAGTTTGTGAAAATCCGGCCGGAGGCTGTTCCCTTTGTGACGTCATAACTCCGTGACCTGACATGACCCGGTCAAATTTTTTTTATCAAAAGATGCGCAAGCTTTGCCCCATAAGGTACCCAAAATTTGGCGGCGCTGCGCGCCGCCGTTTTTGCACTATTTCCGAAAAACCTCAGGGGGGGGGGGGGTTGCACCAACCCCCCCCCCCCTACATGGGCGAGGGTTAAAATCAATATCATGATATTGAAGTTCATGGATGTTTTATCTTGCCTGAAACGATCCCTTGTGCGTTCCAAGACTTTGCGTTGCAAATATGCATTAAAAATTACATGCAGAAGTAAAAAGCAGGGTTTGGGAGTTCATCGTCTTCTGCTTCTTTCGCTGGAAACGTTCGTCCAAAACAGCATAATGGCCTTTTTTTCGACAAAATCTCATTTCGTGCGCAGCATCGTCAATCAAACAGGTGCAGTGCAGACGTTGAGCCATGGTTAACTCAGACTCCGGAGTCGGAGTCGGTATGATTTTTGCGACTCCGACTCCGACTCCGGGCAGAGTTGTCGACTCCGACCGATTCCAACTCCGATTTCGACTTCGACTCCGCAGTCCTGGGACTAACCCATCTCGTTCTTCCGCATCTATAATGATGAGGACGGCAGACGGCGGAGGGATGAAATTGATTCCTTCGAACCGTCTTCAATAAATGCCCGACGGCCGAGTTGCTTCATCCTCTACTGTTTTTCAGCCTGCCTAGCCTTTCTCTGGCCGCTCCGCAGTATTGTGGTGTGAGTATGACGTCACCAAAAGAAAAAGTAGGTACGGTGCCGTCGTAGTCAGACCTTGGCATTGTGCCAGTAGGGTCTGGTGTATGTCAGTCTGTCAGGTATATGGACTCTGGGCCAGTGGCTTATCCAGAAACATTATCTCGGATCCTTGTTGAATTTTATTCACGATCGATGGCAACACAAGTCAAATTCCTATTGCCATCGATCGTGAATAAAACTCAATCATGTCTGATTATTTATCTCGATCCTCAACACTAAAATTCCTAATAGTTCGCCTCGTAACCTTAGTGCAATTTCTATAGTACTTTTACCCGAATCCTCTTGTCTGTCTCAAGGCATAAGAACTCATTAGTTTCCACTTGCAAAAAAAAAATCCACATAGAAAAAAATATGGGCCCCATATGGGATAAAAAAAAAATGCATCCTAGGGGACTAGGGGAGGATAAATGTTCATGTGTCGGGTTTATTCTTGCGATGCTGCATGTTTGGGTGGTGAATATGACTTTTGGTTGATGTTCTAAGACGGCACTGGCAGTGGACTCCTAAAACTGCAAATGGGCTACGACACGCCTAAAAATGATATATAATTTGAATCGTGTGTACCTAAGTAGTGAAGCGATAGGTTGATGACGTGACGAATTCCAGTGAATAGTTAAATAGTGCAAAGTCGCTGACCTAAGATAAATAGGACTGTGTTGTGTTATCAAACGAAATTTAAAGAATTATCCCAATTAACCCTCGCCGGCACAGGGGGGGGGGGGGGTTGATGCAACCCCCCCTAAGGTTTTTTCGCGAATAACTCGCGTAAAAAGCGGCCGATCGCGACGAAACTTTCAGTAGGCTCGCATTGATCAATTTTACACCTACCCTGAAAATTTCATGACCCTGACCCCAATGACCTTTGACCTGTGACTTCTTTTCTGTGACCATGTTTGGCCGAAATCGCGGTTCGGCGCATGTCGGCTCGCATTAGCCGCGCGTTTGCAAGCTTTTCGTGGTTTCAAACGTTCAAACATGTGATTTGATGTTGCTCCCATGCATTAGGGTGGGTGTCAAGGTCACCTGAAGGTCAGGTCAGGTCATTGACCTTTGGTGACCTCGGGTGACCTCGGTTCACTTTTTCGAGTTTTACATGTTTCTAGGCTATTTTTTGAAGCTGAATTCGAATTTAGCAACCATTTGAACATTTACGAAGTAGTTTTGGTGCCTTCGTAACATGTTACGAAGCTATCCGAGGCGGTTGACACGTATTACGAATACCCGTCACAACCCCTACCGGTTGACCTGACCTGACCTGACCTGACCTGGTCTAAATGCTTAACCCTCGCCCGCACATGCCATTTTCCCATCCTAGAACGCACATGGGGGGGGGGGTGGTTGCCACCCCCCGCGCCATTTCGTTCCTGTTGGAGATAGAGCTTAGCGGTAAAGACCAAAAAGATTCTTTGGGAAGAGACGAATCCAATGATACCCAGTTTTACCTTCTCAGGTCAGTCATTGACCTTCCAGGTCAGGTCAAACTAAAAAATGTTGCTATTTTGGGTCAACGTTGGATATCAAGTGCGCTGCTTACCATATACCGATGACGATGCTGTTTTCTGGTGCCAAGCCAGCTAGAACCTCTTTGTCACACTACCCGACCAGATTTTTGCTGCTGAGGTCATGTCAGGTCAAGTTAGGTCAAGGTCAATAATATGTGTTTGTATGTCTGTGTGTGTCTGTGTGTATACTTATGTGTGCACCGATTGTTTTTGTGTCCATATTACATGAAATCATGATCTGAGAAGCTTTTACCAAAAATGTAGTCAAAAAACTTGACAAAAAGTAATTTCCGCTTACCTAAAACACAATTATCTTAGATGACCTAGGTTGACCTTGACCTTGACCTTGACATCTGTACATCGTCGAACAACATGTTCCATGATAGTTGGGAGGTAAGACTGGCAAAAAAGGCCGAAATCAAGGTGTCAAAAGCTCACAAGGCCCATAGCCAGCGCAAGATGTTGAGAATTGGCCATTTGGGTCATGACATGACATGAGAAACAAGGTCATATCTCCGAAACCAAAAATCACAGAAACTTGAAATTTTCAGTGGACATCAAAAAAGGATAGAGGAGCAGCTATACGAAAAATGAGCCTTCTAGCTCTATAAATGTTGAGTGCAGAGCAGAAAGACTACCTGGGGGGTGGCAACCACCCCCCATGTGCGGGCGAGGGTTAAAGACATCATCTCTGATCAAAACTAACACGATATTCGTGATCAGCACCCCGGAAAACCACATGGCAGCCACACTTTACGACTTTCTAACAGGTCCCGATTTTCCCGGTTTTCGGGTCATTGACCTGACCTGGAAGGTCACCCGATGACCTAGGACCTTAAAATTGGATATCATCGGCTTCCTCTCGTGACGGGCAACACGCTCGTTTTTCCGCGAATCTCTAGCTCAATCAGGGGCCAAACGCGAGGGGGGGGGTCGTACTAACCCCCCTTGTGCCGTCGAAGGACTCAAAATGGCCTGTGCCGGCGAGGGTTAATGACAAGTAGTTACGGCTTTGGCCTTTGCTATTCATAGGTGCCAGATACCGATCGCTCATATTCATAGAAAACATGTCGGCTTCTATACTAATGTGATATTTAATTTGTTAAGAGCGAAAGTACCCATCAATGCTAAAATGTCATTTTGTAGCATGTTATTCAATTTCGGAGTTCAGTTAGCAGAAAGGAAGCAGATCATACGCTCAATGTAAGACACAGATGGAAACTCCCATTTCCAGCAAACGGCAACTTTGACCTTGCCCTTCCATGGCAACAGCCGCCCTTCCTCACACTGACAAGAAAAAAGTCTGTCGTCTGCGAGCCATACGTTTTCGTCATAATTTCTACAAACGTCTGCCACTTCTCTGCGTTCTCTGGGACAAACGTTTTTCAACCGTATAAACAAACTATCTTGTGATGGCCTCAACAAACTAACTCGGAGGGCATATGTCCGACCATGTACCCTGATGGAACCATCGTCTGTTTCGTGGAAAATCTCAGAGCGGCTTGATACCAACAAATAAAGACCAGAGGCCTCTTGCACCAAACTACCTAGCTAGGTAAAATCGAAAAACCGGTTTCAGAATAAGCTAATCTAACGGTTGTAAATTTGTTTGCAATAGCCTAATACATAATTCTACATATGCTTGCTAAATTTTGCACGCAAATTGTTACATTTGAGACTTGGACTGGGTATACGATGCAAAATAATCCAAGCATTGGTGCAAGAGGATTTTGGTGCAAGAGGCCTCAGCACACCAGAAGAGAGCAGAAATGTCAGCATGTGCTGAGCTGTGTCTGGAAATCCGCTGTAAGGTGGAGTAATAAACTACTTAGGATCATGTGACCTCCGCGAGTTATCAAAGATAACTACTAAAAATTCGTAACATCGATCTAGATAGGCTTTGTTAATTGTGTGTGTAATTGTATGTGCGAATGGTGGAGTATGAGGTGTAACGCGAAAAGAACGAATTCTTTACTTAATATCATGGACCAACAAAAATGCCTACCTCAATAAAAACATCAGCCAATAGGCGGGCAACATGTATTGAGTGCCTTTACCACGTCTTACTGGCTAATTTCACATATTTTCTACATTTGACGGATACGGTTGTCGTTACAAACACATGAAACATTTTAACAAAGTTCTGTCCAAAAACGCGAAAATCGTAAATACGCACAGCGCTGAAGGGACGGCATGTTTCTGAACCCGACAATACGACGAGTTTTCATACACAACCCGTTTCCATGACAACGAGTGTTTGAATAGGTACAACAATTTTCCATGACAACAGAGCGTTGAATACAGGATATTACGGTGTTGAAGAAATCACGTTAGATTGGTCCCTAGCGCGAGCAAACGCTACGCTGATTCAGCATGAGGGGCTATCGTAGAAAGCGTAATGGGCACGACAGTCTACGCGAACTATGCAAAATAATCGGACAGCCTGAGGCAAAGTGGAAGTACGCTAAGCAGTAGAATGTGTAGTACATTTCAACAGCGGGCGTATATACGGAAAAACGCAAAATATGCAGCGAGTTCTCCTAATAAAAGGCGTAAAAGTGGATATTGCAATCAGCTATAAAGCAAAGCAATAGGTATGTGCGGCCCTCCAGGTAATAAGTGGTTGGTTGCCAACATCACAATAAGCGATCTGCATTGACGAATACGTCTAATGGCTGTTAAAAACCATTGCCGAAGTGTGTGCACGAACCCTCTTCTCATTTCTATTAAGTCATATTACAGGTGTGTCTCTGTCATTCAAAGTTATTACACCAAAAGCACATAGGTTAACCAAACACTCTTTTGCTGGAGGGCCGTACAATGATGTTGAAACAGAAAGATATACTTCCACAAACCAGGACAGTTCGCAAACGGTAGCTAGAAAAAACGCTATATAAAGACACAGACAGATCTTGAAGCAGCATTAGATAAAGGCGGCAGTCATGATAACTTAAAATCGCATGCCAGTACAAAACACATACAAACAGGGTCCTTACACCACCTCAGCCAGAGCATGTGAAGTGCGATATACCTATGCATGCGCAAAACGGTTTTGCACAGTCATTCCACGTCTCACACATTTCAACCTATTTCACAAATTACGCCATTTCATACACATCATCCCTTTCGCTACAGTTCACATCAACTCACAAATCCCCTCCGCATCCATTACAATACAAACCTAGCCTCGAAGACTCATACAATCACGTTCCCATAGCAACGACAGGTCACCACCGACGCTCCAATCACCGTGCCGCTCGCAGCCAGCCGACCAATCCGAGCGCCGTTGCCATGGCGACCAGAAGCGTGGCTGCCCTACTGCCCGGGGCGGTGTTGCAGGCGTTTGTTGAGCACGTCAACACGCAGGCTTGGTAGGTGTTGGGGTCTCCGGGGCGGTTCACCCACTCACAGTAGTTGCCGAAGTCACGTGATGAGCAGAATCGCTTTGTGCCCAGTTGACCTGTGGGGGAAAGAAGGTGTGTGAAATACAACAGTCAACAAACAGTTTCTACAAACGATGACATATTCGCGGCAAAACTCTTGGTATAAGCTACGGTTCGATAGCTCAATATTGAATTACAATAGGTACTGAAGCCGATAATATATATTTAATTGCCCGGTCCGAGCACTATACCAGACATTATTCGGTCGCTTTCCCAAGGGTGTTTTAAAATAATGTCCGAACGGAGTGAGGACATTATTTTATCGAAAATAGCGTCCGAACGGAGTGAGGATGCTATTTTCGAAAATTGCACGAATGAACTGAGTGCAATTTTCGCATTGAATGTGCGAGCTTGCGAGCACATTCAATGAAAACACCCTTGAGGAAAAGCGACCGTATCATGGCTGGCATAGTATTCGGACCAGGCAATTAAATTTATTATAGTAAATTTTTGGCACCAAGCACCAACGCATCTCTGAGAAAGGGTTCGCTTTTGGGCTTCGACATCAAGGAGGGGCACGGAAGATGGGGGGGGGGAGGGCAGCAAATGGGTAAAGCTTTGGGCGTATAATGAAAATTATTGCCAATGGACTTTAACACGCGATGGGCGAATAACGAAATTAATCTACCACTAGGTCTCAGTATGCCTATACAAGTTGAGAGTTGCCTACCACGTCGTATTTTGCTTGAAATTCATCCCTCATTTCTCAGATATTTCCTGGTAAACATGCGAGACGCGTCTGTTACTTTTATTAGACATTCATGCTACGAAGGAATTGCGAGTGAGGAGTAGGCGTTGCGGAGACATGGTTTGTTCTCATGTGGGAAAATGTCGTTGCGTTCCCTCCTCTTTCCTATATTTTGACATCCAATATCCATGAAGGTATGATAACAAACGTCGATCTTACTACGAACACTGGCTCGTAGCAGTCCTGTTCTTCCCGTTCATGGCGTGTCATTTCGCGAACTAGCGACCGGCGGCCGGCCGCTCCGGCGCACCGGCTGCCATAGGGATTTCGGGCGGATTCGTCACATTACCGGCGATTGCGGCAGAACGGGACGGTCTATCAAAGATGTTCCCGAGTACAGGAAACTATGATCAATTTGGAACATATTGATGCCATTTTGGTGTGCGAGACTCTAAAACTGTGCCCGCAATCGTCGTGTACATTTTGCAAGTTATTCTCATTTTCCCATGTTAAATCATCGGGAACGCCGCCGACGGAGCGACGAAATCTCGGTTATCATTGAATATCTCTGAAACTATTAGGTTTATCAAAAATGTTCCCTGGCTCCGCTTGGTGGATACATTGAAGACTACTGTCACCGAGTTTCGATTCATTCCGTTCAAAAATGTGCCCGCAATGCTCGATGAAATGTTCGATGTCCGTTCTCACCTTGTTCATGCAATGAATGCCGGGCGAGCCCGTGGCATGTTGGCTGGATCTTATTTTAGCGAACTCGCCATTTTAAACCTATAAATCGTTTAAGTGGTCTTCTTGACGGTTTATTGTACGCTTGCAATGATGATCGTGATATTTGTTTTGCTTTTTTACGTTTTTCTCAGGTATATTCTCACGCAGTTGTCCTGCCATCTGTCGGTGAGGAGGTGTACTAAACTCCGGTCGCTAGTTCGCGAAATGACACGCCATGTTTGTAAGGGTCATCTTCAATTGCTCTTTTCACTGGCTCTTGAGAACTAGGTGTGCCTCGAATGACGAATCTGCCTTCTAAATTTCTGCGTAACCTGCTAAGCCATCTCTTTGAAATACATACGATAAGTCATTACATTAAGGCTGTGTTCTTTCTCAAATTCACCTGTCAAGCTGTTTCGCAATTTATTTTATTCCAAGCTGCAAGCTTCTATGACCGGACTTTTAGTGAAGTTTCAGTCATCGAACGCATTGTTTAACAGGGAGCTTTTGAAGAGAAGAAAACTGCCGTATAATGAAATTAACCGCCGTGTTTTTATGCATGGGTTTTGATAGGCATTTCCGAGTTTTGGCGTCGACTGAAATTAACCGTCTCTCGCGCTTCTGGCTTTCAGCAGGCCACCTTTATACAAAAAATTTAACTGAACTTTTTAACATGCGTCGGTGGCAAAAATATACTATAATGCTGTATATTTTATTAGTTTAGTACCTACGTTGACACACGAGCGTAAGCGATCGATAATGAAACACTGGCGTGTTGCAAGGAGACATTGTTCGTAACTTTCGTGTCGCTGTTGTTCGTGATGACACCAAAACAAGCGTGCAATGACACACAAAATAAAACCCCACGGTCCACACACACAAAAAACCAAACGGATAGTGACTTTATCGCGACAAAATGAGTGTTATGTAATGTGTTTGTCATAATTATGTACTCATATCTAGCAAACTGCCGACATCAAAACTTATCTAAAACAACTGGAAACGTTTCCGTGCAATCGACAACTTCAAGCACAGGGCAAAACAGATCTTCCGGGGGCACACTGACACATCCAACTACTCAGTTTTTCCCAAAAACGAAGGTGACCCCTTGTATATAATGTTCCGTTTATAATCGATCCGTTTATGACCGTTTATAATCGTCTCTCAGTGGCACCGGAGTGGGACATCTGTGAAACGTTGATAAACAACATAATTTTGCGGTTTTGCGTACGTTGCGCCATGCAGCGATGTCATTTAAGTTGTAGCATAGATTTAATTACGAACTACATGCACGTATACGAAACGAAAGCCCGTCAAACATCAACCGTAAACACGAAATGCAAGGTGCAAAAACAAAAAATTCCGACATGTGGAGCCGTTAAAAATAATCATGCCTAATCTCCAGCCGAACACACCCTCTCTACCTCCGAATATTCCAGTCGTCTTGATGCAGTACGCCGCATCATAGAGATCGTCACATGGCCGGGGAATAATCCCCAAATTGGCCGCAGTTTTGGCGTTAAATCTATCTCCACAGTAATAATCGTGTGATGTATCACATTGATAACAGTCAATGGCACCACCAGCTGCGCAGAAAAAGAAAGGGTTAGTACAGGGTTTTGGTTACAGTGCTGCCACCTGGTGTTAGAACGGATAGGGTTAGTTCATACCGGTCACCGGTAGGCGTCAGGAGGCTGCACGTGCGAAACATAGACGGGAGCATGGAAATCCTGGAATGATAAAGTTTGTTAAAATCAAGAGCATCGTAGTGTGAGTACAATGCACAGCTATGTCTATCAGGAACCCTTTGAGTTCTGCCGCATGCATTTATTCGTTACCCACCTTCAAACACCTGTGTCATCTTGACGCAATATTTGGCGTCGTAGACGTTATCGCAAGATTCGGGCTCCAGCAGTGACGTATCGGTGAGGAACTCGGCACAGCCGATTTGTGAGGAGCTGTCACAAACATAGCACTCGATAGCCGTGCAGCCAGGCGCTAAAACAAATAACGGAACATAAGTCAAAAAAGGAACACACTAGATAGCCGTGCAACCAGACACTAAAGCAAATAACGAAACCTAAGTCACAGACATAACACTCGATAGCCGCGCAACCAGACGCTAAAGCAAATAACGAAACATAAGTCACAGACACACACTCGACAGCCGTGCAGCCATGGGCGCTAAAACAAATAACGGAATATAAGTCAAAAACGGAACGGTTTGAAAACACCGCAGAAACATGCAAGTAACGAAACAGACGTCAAAAAGGGAACGGCTGTCACAGACATAGGTACCCAACACTCTACATATAGCCGTGCAGCCAGGCGCTGGAACAAATAACAGAACATAAGTCAAAAACGGCACAAGTGTCACAACTCACAAACATAACATTCTATACGGTGCAGCCAGCCGCTAAAACCAATAACGAAACGGAACGAGCCTCAGTTACGGAATGTAATTGCACACAAAACAAAAAATATGCAAAGAAAACGGTCGTCAACAAGGGAGTCCAATAGTAAAAGAAGATGGCAGATACGAGCAAATAACCAATCGGACGCAAACGCCACGAACAACATAGGCGGCAGAACAAGGAGGGCACCGGGCACCGTGTCCCCTTTGATTCTGCCATTTTAACATTAGCCCTATGGGCGTTGCATGGAAAGAATGGGACCAAAAGTCGGCAGTGCCCCACCCCCCCCCCCCCACCCCTTAATTGAAGGTGTTCCGCCGCTACTGACGAACACAGCAAATCGAGCATGGCCAAATAAATTAGGGCATTGAAGAAAACGAGTAAGGATGCATATGAAAAGATGAGAGAAAGAACACAAATTGGCGGTGTATAACGCACATGACACTCACAAGTCACAGAATCATGAAAATGTGCGAGCTTTAGCCTTTAAGTTGCATTTAGTGGGACTGACATAAATAAAGCAGACGAATTTTGTAACCGCAGGTTGTTTGAAGTAGACAAACACTATTCGTTAGAGTTGTGTTTTACTACATTTAGACCACATGACTGAAGGAAAGAAATGAGATAAGATACGAAAACGATAAACGTTACACGCCCATAAGATCATCAAAAGGGAGGCATAGAAGGAATTTATAGGAAGAAACATCAGGAATGTCTCCACAAATGCACCTCCTAAAACATCGAGATTCATTACAAAATTATTAAAAGAAGTATGTATGCTCAGATGCTCTGGGTGTAGGCATATAATGTAGCCATGGGTGTAATACATTATAAATGCATTACAGTTCGCCGGCCTCCTCCTGTCCCGACGTACGAAAAAAATCATCCGTTGTCCACGAAAAAAAAAATCATCCGTTGTCCACGAAAAAATTCATCCGTTGTCCGCTTTTCCGTTTTGGTGTTGTTTGCAAACATGAGGCGATTATTTACCTAAACATGAACTCATTTTATTGCACTGAAATTTCCGTTCCGGTCAAGAAAGAGCCGTTCCGGTCTGTAGTTCAAGTTACTATTACGAGGCAGGAGCTACGACTTACGGCCCCTGCCCTGCCCGGAGTAAAGCCGTGACGGTAACGGGTTTCATCAGCGAGGTCGCTAACGGATCGCTGATCACACGTTCGGCTAGCGGAAATAACAGTGAAATCGGAACCGTGCTCATATTTTTACGATGCGCTCTGTACGAATCACGCATGTGCGTGCTTCCGATGGACAATGCAGATATTTTCCCGACCGAAACGTTCAGACAATATAGGTACCAGCGAGTTCATGGGCAACACTTGCGGCATTCGAACCTCACGCAACACCCTAAATTGACATTCTGTCTCTCGCATACAAAATACTAAACAGCTTTCATAGAAAATGTTTGAGTCGTGTTTCAGGCCCGTGAGTAAGCAAAGCTTGAGCTTTTGGAAATCAGAGAAGCTTTTCAGAGCGTGCATCCCCCCCCCCCCCAACGCAACCTCGAAACCGCATTTCTGGCTCCGGCAGTCAACGGATGCATTTAAATAATGAACGTAAAATCCCGTTCTATCCACACTCTATATGATATTCTATGTGATATAAGAACACGGTTGACGCTAGTCATGAGAATATACCAAGCTCTTCTGTTATCTATTAGATAAATCGGCTGTGGATAAGGACTACAGCAACAGCCGGACTAAAACGCAAAACGCAAACCATCCATCATCTAACCGACAGCACAGACGTCATCCGAAGTTAACATAATATTGGCGATGTGGCTAAGATTGGGGTCATGGTAAACGGGTTGTGACAGACAGACACCCATAGGCGGCGGAACGGGGAGGGCACCGGGGCACCGTACCCCCTTTGATTTTGGCATTTCATCATTAGCCCTATGGGCGTTGCATGGTAAGAATGGGACCAAAAGTCGTCAGTGCCCCCCTTAGATTGAAGGTGTTCCGCCGCTACTGAGACACACGGAGAAATGGACAGACATACGAAGTTATCCCGCCGGACCGGAAACCCTGCAAATGACGTGATCAAGACTGCATTAAACAAACATAACGCTTTCCTCACAACTACACACGCATACGAAGAGATATTCGAAAGACAAACAACGGAAAATCCAACCATTACATCGCAGGTTTGGGAAAAACAGCAGCATATGTTCGAAATCATAGTTACTGAACATTCAAACCAGCGCTAACATAAGAACCAGTGAAACCACGCCTAGTATCACCCGTCCAACACACTATAGGTACACCCGAAACTCCAAAATAAAACTCACCGAATTTCAGCATCAATAGCACCACACTCAACACGTAAATCGCATTTCTATCACCCGTTCTCTCCGCCATCGCAGCGTTTTCACCAACGGGCCTGCACTAAACACGCCGGTTAGAAACGGTCTCCACCGCTCCCCACCTGCCCCGCTCCACTGCCGATGACGCCGCACGCAGTGGCGCGTCCAGGCGACATACCTGGGGGGCGCAGAGGCGAGTCCAGGCATGAGAAACTGGGGAGGCGGCTGGGGTGGGAACTGGCGATGGGAAATTTGTGATTATTGTGCCCCTGTTTACTAGACTAGCGCCTGGTGAGAACGTGGCATGTCGTTCATTGTTTTCTCATGAGTTCGGTATATGAAGCAATGCTTATACACTAGCTGGTGTGAACGAATGCTGCCACGGCTTTCTTTTCTTTTTGTAAATATAGCCTCATGAACGCGCAATACGATTAATTACATTATGCAGGTATCACATGCGAGTTCATTCAGTACCGACCAAAGCTAATTTATACCAGACACACCAAATTTGATGATAATAAATCGTTTAGCGGACTGACTCTGGGTGTAAAGAAGCTATTTTTCCCTGTACTTCGACCTTTATTGAAAGGTCTTCAAAGGGGCAATGCGATTCAAAAAACAAACAATAATCATGCTATACTGAATATGACTTTACAGTCTCACATAACATCAAATTTGTAAAAACGAGAACCAGAACATGGGCGCAGATCTCATCTATCTCACTCTCTTTCTGCAGTGTCACATATTATCGATCCTAAACTTTCCCTACTTCAACATAACTCGTCTCAAACATCACATGAGTCAATCGGACTGTATATTTTTATCAACGAAAAATGTCCTTTCCATGCATCAACCGTCTACCATTCATCATTCTTCCACGCCTGACACACTTGTTCATTCGAGCACAACCGATCACCAAATGTGACATTCTCGACAGAAATACACAACTGAAAGCGAGCCATTCATGCTTAGAGCGTTTTCTCGACCGAAAAACACCAAGAAATAGTCATTCACCACATCAATCTCCGCAGAAATAGGAGGGTGTCATTCATTCTTAGCTTAGCAGCTATTTTCGATGCGGATACACCTCGTAATTGTCGTCCACTCCATCAGACATCCATTTCGACCGAAATATACGGGAGTGAGCCACCCACTTCAGCGCTTCACGAAGCTAAGACACGCACAGTACATACACACTACACAGAAGACGGAAGAAAACTGTGACGATACCGGGTTTCGAACCCGCGACCTTCGTCACCGAATGACCACACAAGCAGAAAGCACAACACGGAAACAGGCGATCGTTCATCTCTGGACGAATCTACCTAGACTCAACAAAAAATTTCACTCTTCCAGCATTCATCCTTAATCTCTATTGATTCCGGACAGTCAGTTGGTCCCTGTGTCCTTTTTCCGCCGCTCTATCCGGTTACGAAGGCACTCTTTTTGCCTCCTTCCCGCTCTTTCTTTTCACCACCCTACCTTTCTGCCTGAATCTTTCAAGCAGACCAATATCCTAATCCATCATTCTCGTTCATGTCTTCCTCTATACCTCTTCCCTCTCCACATCACTCCTCCATCCCTCCTCTTCTCATTCTCCCCACCCTTCCCATCCCTTTCTTTCTTCTTCTCGTCTTTCTCCAGCCCTTCAACAGTTGTCCGCCGGGAGCGAGCTCTTATCCAGATCGGAGAAGTAGGGGTGCTTCAGCATGGCACGTGCGGTGATGCGCTTAGCAGGGTCGTAGATGAGCGTTTGCTGTAAACAAAATGCAATATTATGAACAGAAAAAAGCAAGCAGAAGTAAAGAATAGCAAATTAACAAAAAAATGAGGCACTTATTATAGCCAAAAATGATAAAGCGACCAGCGAATGAAACAAAAAGGTTATCATCTTTACATCATATTAATGGTGAGATTAAATTACTGAAGCAGTTAATATATTGTTGGTGAACAAAAGGGACCCAGCAAGTGTTACTTTTCCAGCCATATCCGTATCAGCTTGGTTTTGATTCATGCTGCATGTCATACGACTACGAAAAAGGACGAGAAACGACTACGAAAGCAGAAAAACTGCTAGTTAACATTTACGAGGCTTCAACTGGGTGAAAAATTGCAATTTTGCAAAACCCTTCAAGCCGTAATCGCCAGCCATATGTGGAAGGCTTTTCTATGTCAATAACTACATACATTGCCCGCATTGTTTGTTGTGATACGGTGAAATAATTTCCCCTGTTGTCATTAGTTTATTTGCATTGTGTACAATAAACCTATAGTCCTCTGCGAAAACACCTTTTTCCCCTATCTCTCGCTGACCGAAATAAGACGAATCTTTGAACATGCAGTCCTTGATGATGTTTTGTGACTTAAAGGCGCACGAAGTTCAGAGACTTATAACGTAGAGACTATCAAAAAGTAAGAACACCGCTAAATTACGTTGCGACCAATATAACTCTTTCTTCGCCTACAAGACCCAAAAAGTTACTTCGTTGAGTCTTTGAATAAGCAATCCCTGATGCTCCCCAACGAGTCTTTCAACATACAGCCATTGCAGATACCCAATAAGTCCCTGAACAATCATTGAAGATGCTTCACAACTCTTTGAACAAGTATTCCTTGACGCTACCAATGAGTTTCTGAACATACAGTCAGTGCAAATACCCTACCAGTATAACGCCTTTTGGGGCGACTAACGGAGCGAGCGAGAGGATGGGCCTTGCACGTGCGAAATTGCGAGGGGGTACCTCCAACTGACTTGTGCACGGCACCCTACTAACTGGTCTCTAGCGATGTGCCAAATTTGGGCACAATCGGCCCAGCCGTTCTCGAGATCTGGAAGCGGCACCCTGCACGTGCGCACGTGCAAAATGGGTCCCAACTGACTTGTGCACGGCACCCTACTAACCGGTCCCTAACCGTGTACCAAATTTGAGCGCAATCGGTCCAGCCGTTCCCGAGATCTGGAAACGACCCCTGCACGTGCGCACGTGCAGCAGCACCCCAACTCTGGCACATGTATATGCAGTGCCTAGTGGGTGCCTACCTACATGCCAACTTTCAGCGCAATCGGCCAAGTAGTTACCGAGATATTGCAACAATTACAAAACTGACACCTCTTCGTTTTGCACGTGGCACGTGCATAAGGGGTCACCCACATGCATCGGGAATAGTCCAATACTTGGTAGAAGGAATGAAGCTACCCTACAAAAATTACCGCGTGTAAATCGGTCAAGTGGTTGCTGAGATATAAGCCTCGCAAAAGCGTGACCACGGCCGGCCGGCCGGCCGGCCGGCCGGCCGGCCGGCCGGCCGCTCATACTCAGAAATTTCCGTTAATCTAAGGAAAGACTACGCTCGCTTCGCTCGCTCCGTAACAAGTCCTCAAACAAACAACTTTTATGCTACCCAACGAGTCCCTGAACATGTCACCCACCTGCAGCAGGTCCAGACCCTCAGGGCAGATGCCGCTGACGCTGTCAGCCAGCTGGTTCTCCGTCCAGTTGGGGAAGCTCGGCTTGTAGTCGGGCAGGTCACTGACCCCTGGCCAGATCTCCTCAGTGGGAGTCTTCAGCGTCCTGTAAGGGCGAGAGTTGTGGGGTGAGACGTAGGGTACTGGACCTTATTGACTAAAATAAGTCTGTAAGGGCGAGATTTGTGTGGTGAGGTATGGGGTAGTGGACCTTATTGGGTACTGAGCCGATAGGGGTGAGAGTTGGGTGGTGAGGCATGGGGTAGTGGACCTTATTGGATGGGGTGGGTTGACAAAGGCGATAATTGTGTGGTGAGGCGCGGTGGTTGAACCTTATTAGGTGAAATCGTTCAATGATTTTCACTATATTTTCTCCATCGAACAATATTCTCTCGCTACATCTTTCAGCAAAGCAGAGTCATGGAATTTATGTATCGAATTAAAATTTGACGACTAACGACTTCCGATGAACGATTTCACAGTGATTATAGACGAACGATGATTATAGACATAGGTCATTACAACATTTATTTCCCTATCAAAAGCTATTACCTCCAGTAAGTAGCCTCATCAGAACATCTTGAACACCAGTCGATGTTTCTAATCTCACGATCTAGCGCTAAAACGGATAACATATATTAAATCCAACTGTCTAAACCTCACCTGAATATCCTGAAGAGCTGGTCGATCTCGGAGTCCCCGTGGAACAGCGGTCGCTTCTTCACCATCTCTGCCATGATGGTGCCTGAGAAACGGTGCGACAAATGACGTCACAAGGGGGACACAGAGAGAGGATATCAGACATGTGCGACAATTTTTTTTTTTACGAATTCCACGTCATATCTTCATGTGCGCTCAGATGTGGAATGGGCTGCCCTCCCAATAACACAATCAAAAGAAGTACAAACTACAACGTCCTCTCATGACAATATGTGTTTTCTGTGTGTGTGGGGGGGGGGAGGGGGCGACCGGCCATCACGGATATCAAGTACCGACGTAACACCTGTCCAACAGCACGCTGTACAGTAGGTCTACAAAATAAGTCCTCTCCGTATGCGGGCAGGTGGCGCCTGAGTAGCGCTCAGGCGCTAACTGCCCACTGGTGACCCGCATTCGGCGGGGACTTATTTTGTAGACCTACTGTACCCTAAGGAGCCAAACCCTTGTCCATCGCTAACGGACCTGCACCACTTGTCAGCCCACTAGTGATGTCAATTACGGAAAATAGGAATACCGATGCCACACCAAATACCAACCAAAACCGTGGAGAAATACCGAAACCAAACCAACTTGGGAACAATATGAGGAAAATACCATCAAATACCAAACATATTAGGATTGAAATACCAGATACCGAGTTGGTATCGGTTTGGAATCGGTATACCAAATAGCTGGTATCCGATTGACATCTCTACAGCCCACCATCTCCTTCCATAGAGTATTTCATAAAAGACAACGCCTCACCGATCGACCAGATATCCACGGGACAGGAGTAGCGCGGAGATCCCAGCAGAACCTCCGGAGCGCGGTACCACAGCGTCACCACCTGGTGAACAGAAACACGGGTCAAGGTTAGAGCGCGGGTTCGAGTCTAGGAAGGGATTGGAATTTTATCGATGTAAACGGGGAGCGAGTTAGCAAGGGTTGTACGGTTAGCATTTAAAGATTTTTCTTCCCTCAAATTTTTTATCGCTCTTCAGGGAAAATCGAGAAAATTTAAGTCTTTTGACCTAAATAATGGACTCCATTGTCTCAGGTCAGTGGTAGGCCTAATATACAGAACACTGACATACGCCCTGTAAAAGAAATATAAACCAACACAAACATAAACCTTAACCCTCGCCCGTATAGGGGGGTCGAACGGACCCCCCCCATGGTTTTTCGCGAATAACTCGCGTAAAAAACGGCCGATCGCAACGAAACTTTCAGTACCCTCGCGTTCATCAATTTCACAATTACTCTGAAAATTTCATGACCCTGACCCAAATGACCTTTGACCTACTTTTCGAGACCATGTTTGGCTGGAATCGCGATTCGGCGTATGTCGGCTCGCATTAGCCGCGCGTTTGCAGTCTTTTCGTGGTTTCAAGCGTTCAAAAATGTTATATGATGTTGCCCCCATGCATTAGGGTGGGTGTCAAGGTCACCTGAAGGTCAGGTCAGGTCATTGACCTTTGATGACCTCGGTTCACTTTTTCGAGTTTTACATGTTTCTGGGCCAGTTTTTGGAGCTGAATTCGAATTTAGCAACCATATGAACATGTACGAAGTAGTTTTGGTGCCTTCGTAACATGTTACGAAGCTGTCAGAGGCGATTGCCACCTACTAGGAATACCCTTACTGGTTGACCTGACCTGACCTGACCCGACCTGGCCTAAATACATGAAGACATCATCTGTGATCAAAACTAACATGATATTCGTGATCAGCACCCCGAAAAACCCCATAGCAGCCACACTTTACGACGTTCTATCAGGTCCCGATTTTCCCGCCTTTGGGGTCATTGACCTGACCTGCAAGGTCAACCAATGACCTAGGACCTTAAAATTGGCTATCATCGGCTTCCTCTCGTCACGGGCAACACGCTCGTTTTTCCGCGAAGCTCTAGCTCGATCAGGGGCGAAACGGCAAGGGGGGGTCCAACGGACCCCCCCCCCCCTTATACGTTCGCGGCTGGAAAAACACCAATACGGGCGAGGGTTAAAAGAGAAACTCCGACCCGAATAGGCAGCACACACTGAAGGTTTGACGCTAAATTTTGCAGCATACTCCGAGTTTCCTTATGGCAATACAAGCTTTGTTAGTGTGCTTACCGTGCGTCTTGCCGTAAAAAACCCTCGTATATGAATCACTGACTAGCTTTCTGAAGGTCTCACCTCGTGTGTGTAGACCCGAACCGGCACACCGAAGGCACGCGCTAGACCGAAATCAGCGATCTTAATGACACCATCTCGGTCGATAAGCAGGTTTTGCGGCTTCAGATCACGGTGAAGAATACGACGCTGGTGACAGAAGAGGATACCCTGCAAGAGAGGGGACACGCGTATTACGTCAGTGGAGGCAAAAGGTGACGTCACTAAAGGTGGGTCACTATAAAATATGACACCAAATGTGGACATCACAGAAGTAAGACGCCGGACGGTAAAAGGCGGAATAGTGGAACAGAAGACATTCAGTGATGCTATAGAGTAAAGCTTGTGGCACTGGCAATACAGGATACGCTGCCCAATAAAACGTGTGAGTTACGTCAGTGGAGGCGGCCCGTGACATAATACGAAACACGACGTAAAAGTGACTGCCTTCTTAGTTGTGATAGATGAACCATTATGCGACTGCGTCATATGAAAAATACGCTATTGACATCATGCCAGTCACTGGTGAATCTGGTTATAATCTTGTCAATGTTAATGGTTATAAATTAGGCACGGACCGAAATCCAGACGAGCACGGGCGGACCCCACGGGCAAGAGGTTTCCGTCCTCTGCCGTAAAATATTTAAAACGAGTTTTCACTATCATACCTGTGTGATCTGGTAGGTGTACGACTTCACCAGCTGTTTGTCCCTGCCCCTCCCATACTGCCACCCCATACTACCATACCATACCTGCGTGATCTGGTAGGTGTATGACTTCACCAGCTGCTTGTCCATCTGTTTGCTGCCGAGCGTATCCATGTACTTCTTCAGGTCCATCGATAGGAACTCAAACACCAGGTACAGCTTCTTCTCCTGGAAAAGAAGCGGTAGATATTCAAACACAAGATGTAAGGCATACCAAGGGATTTGTACAGTTGAAACTGGAGATCTTTGCGTAAAAAATATAAATTGTCGTTGTTTAATTACTAATCCATTGTAACCCAATTCATAAATCGCCGGGGACGTTAACCCGCGCCCGGCTGGGGGTCCTGGATTTCCACGCCCTGCTGGGGGGGGGGGTGTTTGAACAACCCCCCCCCTTCTAACTCGGCTCCTGGGCCACGTAGCGATACGCGGAAGGCGGCGTTCGAAAGAGCGTCAAAAATAATGAGGAAATCACTTCGATCAATTTTTTGGTCAGGTCAAAGGTCAGGTCACCAGAGGTCATTGAAGGCAAAATTTCGCCGATTTCCAGGTCGAATGTCGACAATTTCCAAGAAGCCAACGCATAACTCGGGAACCAATAGAGCTACAGCGCCGCGGAAAAGCGCATTCGATAGCCCTATTAACGCCCTTTCTGAGTAATTTTCTCAGATTTGACCTAACGTCAACGGTTTTGCCTGCAGGGGGCAAAAACTGCAAAAATAGCCGATTTTTTTCGGAAACAGTTTTTCTGCAATAACTTTTGACCCAAGCCTTGTACGAGCTTACTTTTACCGGCATCGTGTTCCTCTCATCAAGACGCATCGAATGAACTATAACTTGACCTTGAAAGGTCAACTTGAAAATTTGACCTCAGGTCAAGGTCATGACCTGACCGGAAAGGGTCATGTTGCATATCAGTCGATCCGTATCGTCGAGCTGAACACATCTAAGGCGTTTTCATTGCTCTAGCATGCCTCTATCAAAAGTTATTTGCGAAAAACTGTTAGATACCATTCGTGACCTAAGATGACCTCAGGGCATAAACAGGGGTCACGGACACCATTTTCATGTTCAGTTTGTCTAAACCACTTGTAATTCAGTGTTTGTGAGTGTTTATAATGTCTTTCGTCCAAAAGAGGCGCATTTCAATTTTCTCCCATTGACTTATAATGGGGAGGTCGCAAAATTGACCTGACCTTAGGTCATCGATATCAAAATTCTGAGATAAACATTTTGTACATGCTATTGCTCTTAGCAATCGCTGAAAGTTTCAAAGCGATCGGTCACTCGGTGTAGCTATGACAGACATTGAAACTTTTTATGAGGTGAGGTTACTTCAAGTGACCTGGTGACCTGACCTTGAATGACCTTGGTCTCAAATTTTCACTACATGTGTAGAATTGATGTATGATAAGGTGTACCAAAAACGGCGCCGCTCCGCGCCGCCGTTTTTGAGATATTTGCGAAAAACCACAAGGGGGGGGGGGGTGTTCAAACACCCCCCCCCCCAGCAGGGCGCGGGTTAACGTAGGGGAACCTCTATATTAAAATTAAAATCCCCACTCCCTCCACTATGTTTGCTGGGTCTGCACGAAAAAAAACAACAGGCCCGACTCCTCGGCTTATGAGGAAGTTTTTTTTTTGTCTAAAAAACTTTGTTGAAACAGCGGTCACTCTCAGCATACCCCTAGCCTCCTACCCTTCCTCTCCCCATTTTGTTCTTTAACTCCTTCCCTCCCCCACCCCCTCCTTCCTTGCTTATCCACTCACCTGCATCAGTACATCCTCCAGACTGACTATGTTCGGGTGTACCAGCTCCCTGAGCAGCGAGATCTCCCGGATGGCAGTACTCGGTACACCCTCTTCCTCCGTCTCCAGACGGATCTTCTTCATGGCCACGATGTTACCGGTGGTCTTGTGCTGAGCTTTGTATACCACGCCATAGGTGCCTGGGGGGTGGGACAGGGAGTTATTTTTTATTATGTCAAAAGTTGAATGGATGAAATGACAGAGCTGGAGACCATGCTAAGCAGAGCTTGTTGCACAGACCCCCAACCCCTACGTTCGATCGCGCAATTCCGGGTAACGGAAGGATTGCTGGATAATGGGGTCAGGATAACGGAAGGATAATGGTGTGAACGACGCCCGAGTTTAATGTGCCTAATGCTCACCAAAGCTGGACACGGCCTGTCCCAGACAACTGACTTCAACCAGATGCAGATGCTCCCGTCAACCGCAGACCATCCCCGTCAGGAGTCTCAAATATCAAGTGCAGTCAACTCGAACCAAAGCTTTCATCAACCGATCAACGGTAGTTCAACGCTCTACCAACTGAGCTACAACTGGGCTATGTGACAACATGAGCCGTAAGTCATGGGATGGGAAGAGAAAGAAGATAGCTGATGGTAATCTCACAAAGAGCCTCGCCTAGACAACTCAGCATGAGTGAACACTTGAATATAGTGCCTAGACAGGGAGAGAGAGAGAGAGAGAGAGAGAGAGAGAGAGAGAGAGAGAGAGAGAGAGAGAGAGAGAGAGAGAGAGAGAGAGAGAGAGCAAGAGAGAGAGAGAGAGAGAGAGAGAGAGAGAGAGAGAGAGGGAGAGAGAGAGAGAGGAAGGGAAAGATAGAGAGAGGGGGAAAGGGGAGAGAGAGGGGAGAGAGAGGGAGAGAGGGAGAGAGGGGAGAGAGAGGGAGAGAGGGAGAGAGGGGAGAGAGAGGGAGAGAGGGAGAGAGGGGAGAGAGAGGGAGAGGGGATAGAGAGGAGAGAGAGAGAGGGTGAGGGCAAGAGGGAGAGGGAGAAGGAGAGAGAGGAGGGAGAGGGAGAGAGAGGACAGAAGTAGAATAGACAGAGAGTGAAAGAGAGAGAGTGAAGAGAAAAGAGAAGGAGGAAATGACAGGCAGAGTAGAGGCAGGAGGGATCACGGAACAGCCAAACATCCAGCAGAGCTCCGGCATTTCATCATCCTCGCAAGGGACAGCTCAGACACGGCGCCAACTGCCAAGTGTAAACAATGCATCCATAACACCTCTCCCCCAGTTTCCAGGTGGATCTAGTCTCGCAACAGCGTGGTCTGTCCTGATATATGGGCACTCACCTTCTCCGATCTTTTCTAGCTTCACAAAATCATCAATCTTGTTCACCTCCTTGCCCATCTTTGAGAATTATACTGACCTGCAAACAGGAAAAAGTTACCTTTTTCAATGAGCTTGTAACCATTGCCATCAAATAAATGACTACAGAAAACTTCAAAAAACAAGGGTAGCAAATGACTTATGAGATTGAGATTTGGATTGTTCAAGATTGCCGGGTGGGTTGGAATTGGATTGGCATTGAAAGCAACACTGAAAATTGCAATATGAAGACAGCACACGAAAATGTTAATGAAACAAGTGATCAAAACGTTAAAACAACACATGGGTTAGAAAATTATATGATAATATTTTAAAATATACCTTCCTCGGCCGCCAATTCAATCACGGACACAGTTTTCGAATCTCGAACCATTCATTCGTTCGAATCGCACGTTTATTTCCCGCCTTGTCTCCTGCGCCGTAGTTTGCCGCAAAAAGCTTTGAATCTTTGATGTAGCTACGTTTTGATGACGTAAATTATCATATTTTAGATGAAACTTCTGCTTAAACAGAATTTTCCGAGAAAAATGTTATAATTAATTAATAATAATTCTAAAATTTATAAATCAATACATCTTAAAGACCAAAATCGAAAGATTGGCTCGATAATTATATTATACATCATATAATTCTTTACTTCGCTTGTTTACATATTAGTGATGAAAAAGTTGAAGTAGGTACTTGAGGTACTTGATTACCATACTGGTGATGATCTTCTTCCTGTGTTAATCTTCGAGAGTGAAATCGAAATGTACCCTTTGAGATTTTTGCTCTTCAAAATTGATCTACGCTTCTGTCTAAATACAGCGTCAAATATTTTTTTTCGGAAAACACTAAGCCATTACCCTAAAGTACTTGTATTTTCAATCCCTATTTCTCATGTTTTCCAGCTGATCCAAGGACACTGAGAAGGTGAAAAACAAGAAAAATTCGAAGCGCGGACTCGTTGTTTGTGGTTTTCGATGTTCCAGTTTTGTGTTTGATCGTCATGATTATGAAACTGTAGATGAGTTTCAGAGATACAGTGGTGTCTCAATGATTTGTACGGATTTCTCCCGCTCATTCTAACTTGAACTGTCTGTTGAGGAATGTTTCCGAAGTTGGGGTGCACTTGAGCTGTAAAGTTGAAGTGAAGTCAAAGTTGAAGTGCCAGGGTTGCGTTGGAAGCAAGGCTATGTTGGAAGCATAAAATGAGCAACTCAGCCTAAAGGCAATAACCAGTGCTTTGTAGACACAAACAAAAGTGCACTTCCATCAATTCGTGCATCACCAGCCATCAAAATGAGGACCAGAAGCAACTCTGGAGTCCGACTCGACTACTATAGGGATATGCTGTTCAACACAGTGTTATGCCACCAGCATCCGGTGACAGGACTGCTGCCTGCGAGCAAAGGCAGCCAGCATTCCTGGGTACGAGACAATGTGTACTGTGCCATCGCGCTGTGGGGCCTGTCCAAGGCGTACAAGAAGTACTCCGACCTCGACGAAGAGCGTTCGAGGACGTACGAGATGGAGCAGCGCGTTGTGAAGATCATGAGAGGTCTCCTGACGTCAATGATGTTCCAGAAGGACAAGGTCGAGCGCTTCAAGAGCTCGCAGTCGCCGAAGGACGCGCTGCACGCCAAGTACAGCACAACCACCGGTTTCACCTGCGTCGGTGACAATGAATGGGGCCATCTCCAGCTCGACGCCACGTCTCTCTTCCTCCTCATCCTGGCACAGATGACCGCGTCAGGCATCAAGCTGGTCTACAGTCTCGATGAGGTCACTTTCATCCAGAACCTTGTCTTCTACATTGAGATCTCCTACTTCACCCCGGACTATGGCATCTGGGAGAGAGGGGACAAGACCAACCACGGCCTGCCTGAGCTCAACGCCAGCTCCATCGGCATGGCCAAAGCCGCCATGGAGGCGCTCAACGACCTGGACCTCTTCGGCGCGCATGGAGGGCCCGCCTCGGTCATCCACATCCTTCCCGACGAGGTTCAGAAGTGCCAGGCCGTGCTGCAGTCCATGCTTCCCCGAGAGAGCATCTCAAAGGAACTCGACAGCGGGCTGCTCTCCATCATCGGCTTCCCCGCGTTCGCCGTCAGCGACGCGGCCACGATCAACGCGACGCGACTCGCCGTGGAGGAGAAACTCCTCGGGCGCTACGGATGCAAGCGCTTCCTCCGCGACGGCTACAAGACGGTCAAAGAAGACCCGAACCGACTCTACTATGAACCCTGGGAGCTTCGCGTGTTTGACAACATCGAGTGCGAGTGGCCACTCTTTCTCTGTCTCTTGGCAATCGACCAGTGTTACCAAGGCAACCGGGAAGCCATGGACAAACACATCCTCTCGATTGAAGAACTCATGATCAAAACTGACGACGGACAGAAACTCGTTCCGGAGATGTATCAGATCCCGCCTGAATCTCTGGACGCAGAGCGAGCCGACCCGGGCTCTCAGCGCCGCAGACCGGTGGGTCGAGTGCCATTCTTCTGGGCGCAGAGTCTCTACGTGATCGCGAAACTTCTCCAAGAAGGCTGCATTCAGGAGTCAGAGCTAGACCCGCTGAATCGGCGGCTGGGTGCGGAGAAGAAGCCCGATGTGGTAGTTCAGGTGGCGATTCTGGCGGAGAACAAGCATGTGCAACAGATCATGGCAGAACATCATGACTTGCAGGTGAGTCGAATGGTGGGAGAGGAATGAAGGGGATTGTATTGTATTGTATTGACTTCATTGGGACCTTGACCTTGACCTCATTGACCTAATTGGGGTATGGGGACCTTGACCTCAGCTGACATTCGGCAGCAGGGTGGGTATGAGGGTGGGATGGTTGGGGGAAAGTTTATAGATCCTATAGACATATTATGCATTGTAAATGTACATGGATTGGAATGTTGATGATCCATCTGTCCTTCAAACGTTGCCTCGTGTTCCGAAATGGGTACGGTGAACAGGATTTGCGGAGTCGGAGTCGATATCGGTCGGAATCGAGCAGTTCTGACCGGAGTCGGAGCCACCGAAAATCCATCGCCCGGGCTGTGGATTGGGAGTGAAGTGGATCTCAGTCGGCAGTTCTGCCCAGCCTCGGAGTCGGAGTTACTGAAAATCCATCGACTCCGCAGCCCTGGGCGTCAATGCTATTTGATTGCGCTGTTGACCGAAGCGCCTGTGATGGTCCCCCAAACATCATTTACGTCGATATTTTATTGCTGAAATTGTCCTGTCAGTTGTCACACACAAACAAATGTCCAATTTAACCCCGAATACATGCGGCAAACACGAAAACTAACTCCAGGTTGAGAAATATTGCAATTTCGAGAACTTTCTTTTATTATGTGGATTTTTTTTCTAAATACAAGAGCATACCTAAAATTCGGGTCCAGCTGAAAATGGCATAATGGGGTTGGGAACTCGATTTTTTAAGAATGCATGAAAATGATCAAACTATTTTCACAGAATTTATGGTGCATACCATTGCCTCATAAAATCAATATCCTGAGAGAAATGGGGGAAGAAAGATAGGAAACTTGTTTTGAAAAGTTCTTGAAAAAAGATGCTCTTGATGCTGTTACGTCACATGTCACCTTCTGCGGTTGACAAATAATGGCGCATCTGGCGCACCACAGATTACATGTTATATCAATGGGTGAAAGATGTTGTTTGTTTCACTCTGCCATTCGCGCTGTTTTTAACTTTAAATTATGCTAAAACACTTACGGATGAAATGTTCAGTGTCAAAAATTGATGTGTCTGCCGTGTACTATATTCCCACTTAACATTGAGCGCGTGATAAACATTTTATGTACCTCGAATTTTCAAATGATAAAGATGATGAATCGGAGGATGCTGAAAAGCAAAAGCTCATTCCAATATTTTGACTACTTTACAATTAAAATGTTTACATTCCTGTCATCTTATTGATCATTTATTTGTTCTTTTTTATGAAAATAACTTCAGGCGTTGAGAACCGAGGTAATTTCTATCTACCGTGCCTTAACTTACCAGCAACAGCAATCTATCTACGCCCTACGGTGGCAAGGGAGACTGTGAAAGAAGCGTAAGATGGATTCTAAACAATTCTTTTGTGATATACTGAAGGGCAAAGTGCAGAGAAGAGCGTACAAGTCCTGTTTTGTGCCAGGCTGTTACAGTAGCACTTATGAAACTCCGAAAACGAACTTCGTTCATGTCCCGAACAACATTACCCTGAGGAGATGATCGTCTGCAATAGCAGGAAGAGCTGATGCAAGTACTTTGAAATCCACTATCAAGTCGGTGCTATTGTTGTAATGATCACTGTGAGGTGAGATATTTTGTGTAAGGGCTGAGTGTAATGCCCAGGAGATGACCTCCATTCGCCCCCTGACCGGTCAGGGTTATAAAATTTGAGTGGATGGCGGTCCGTTTGGGGTTCAGATGTCAATTGTATTTTGTTACTGTCAAACAATACATGTTATGCTGGCAGCGAATGTGTGTAACGTCGGTTTTCGAAACAGAAGTTAGAACTGTAACGGCAGAGTGCTTGCTGGTCTCATCGTAAGTATTGTAAGTGTTGTAAGCAAAAGCATTGTCAATCTCGTAAGTATTGTGAGCATTGATGTATGGTAGATATCACCTCACATGATCTCGGCTCAGATAACTCTCTCCGTTGTCCCTGTCAGTGAATGGCACCTGGATCATTACAGATAAGATAATTTGTCATAATTCTCGTTTACTCGAGGTGCAGGTCGCATTTCAATACTTTTCCATAGGCTTGCAATGTAAAGGTCACGACTCTGACCTAACCTCAGGTCACAGATCAAAAATTCTGAGATATACGAACGACACATAGAACGACCTACTGCAGGTACTGTTTTGAAGACTTGATGAGAGGAAATAACTTCGTGAAAAACTCAAGCTCTGACGTGTTTGCAAACTTTTCTGAGGTGGGGTCAACAAACCCGCTCTGGTTACCTGACCTGACCTGACCCGGCATTTTTTTTTTTTTTTTTTGCTGAGATGTGCGCAATGAGCATTTAGGAAAAGTCACCAAATATGAGCTGAATGTCTCGCGGCGTTTGGCAATTGTACAAGAAAATCCTGAAAGGCCTCCCCGTCCGAAATAGGGTTAATGTGTATATGAAGAGTTGCAGATGCCAAACATACCCAGATCTAAGACTGCAGTTCCCAGCGCCGCTGCAACGTTTTTAAAACAAACATACATAGGACATACAAACATGTTTATTTGCATCTGTTTTGGATAATAGCAACTCATGGCGCCATCACCCGCGATAACTGTTAGGATTTGAGATATATTTTTATTTAGGCCATTAGTTTGGCTGTAATGTTTATTAATATTAGTTGGGCGGAGTTTGGTAGTTTTTTTATTTAACTTGTGGTATGTTGTGCTGATTGCGAGTTGTTCAAACCTTTCAAATGTAAGGACCTTATTGAACTCAACCCTACCCCTACACTACCCTACATACGACTGGACGCTTTCCAAGCCCACAAGCATCACGACGCCGAGATGGAATGTAGCCGGGAAATCACCCTCGCCATCTGCTCGTGTGGGGCGGCGTGTGGGGCGCCGCTTAGCCTATGGGGGTACACTTCTAGTGGATGGGGACGGGGGTGCACCTGCACCCCTTTCATATGGAAAGTTACTTCCCTGATTACAGCTCCCCGTATTGCACCTAATCAGGGAACGGCCAGCAAACGAAGAAACTATTTCTGAATGACAGGCGAATAACCGCTCACGCAAGGAGCGGAGCTCCGCCCCGTCCAAAGTGGCCAACAAAGCAGAGACAGAGGCAGCATCACATCTTCCATCAAAGAACTGGTTACTGGCTTGGAAGATGAGCTCGATCTTTGCATCCGAGTCGGTGCTGTCAGGAATCAGCTGGTCTAATGGAGTGAGAGTAGTGAGACGACTAGCTATTGTATCAGAGCTGCCTGGTCTTCGTAGCATTTGCACCGATTCTTCTCGATCGGACTCTGAATTCTGTCCCTCCTGCGTATTACTTGAGGCATTGCTATGTAGCTGAGTCTTTGGCAGAGTTTCATTATCCATGCTTTGCAAACAGTGCCATAACAACACAGTTAATTAATCACCAAGCTTCTTTGCAAGTTCCAATACAGTTGAATCGCACGCGATTTTAGTGCAAAAATCAAGAAAAGTGCCAACTTGTTCCCGTAAAATATTTTGAATATTGACCTAAAAAATGAGTAATTTCCAGATAAAAAACAGCGAAATCAGTTTTCGCTTGCCAATAAAACTCACAGATATTGAAGCTCCATTATTAAAGGAACATTTTAGTATATGCCATTCTTAATAAAACTTCTTAGCCACGCAATACCAGCGCAAAATAAAGAGACACTGAAAACACGACCAATCACTCCGATTTACCATAGGAAAATACATAGACAATGTATGTCTCAACTGCGCCAAATATACAGACAGTTATATACCTACATGTGACGTCATGATTAGCCCGACCAATCAGAAGCAAGTTGTTTTCAGCCACAAATAATTAATTTCTGAACTAACTAGGCATTTTTTAACAAAGTGATTTTAAATTAAATCATTAAAAATTATGAGCTTTTTTATTTTACCAAAACATACAGAGCATGCAGATAGGTCCCAACCCTATTATACATCAAACAGGCTTATCAGGTCTTGGAACGAAGGTCCATAAATTAGTCGGCCAACAAAATGACGTAACGACATACGTGAACAAGTGAACTAAGTCAAGACATACCAGAACACGGCAGATCCAGGAAACGCACTTGACGCTCCGTAGCAAAACGATAAATTGAACGACATACCTAAACAGGTGAGCTGGTGTCGGTGTCCCAAAATTATATTTTGGCTGAGGTGTCTGAGGGGAATATTTCTCACTGCAAAGAGGGCTGAGAGTGGGAAATGGCCAGTATGAGAGACACAAAAATAGAGCGAAAAACAGGCATCATTTATTTATATGTGAGTGTAGTGTTAGAGGATGTAGCAGGTGCGAAGATAATTGAATAGAATATGGAGGTAGGTAAAAGCCAGCAAGCAAATGTACTGTACCTACTGTAGACGCAGATTCTCTTTATTGATAACAATACATTTGGAGTAAAAAAAAATGCTCCGGCAAATTGGAGGTAAGAGTGGAAAAAATATTTCCATTTGGATGTCACTTCCCACCCCGAGTGGCAAATATGAGGACACCGGCCGGTATACGGCAGGCGCGAGTGACACAGGCGGCACACAAGGACATCCAACAAACGACCAGAGTTTGACCAAGGCACAACCGAGAGATAGATCCACGTATTTTACGTACTAGGGGGGACGAGGGCACAACCGGGGCTGACAGTGACGCGGATCGGGGCCACAGACACAATGCCTGGCCGACAAAGACAGCACGGGGCGACAAAGACACAGCACGGGGCGACAAAGACACAGCACGGGGCGACAAAGACACAGCACGGGGCGACAAAGACACAGCACGGGGGCGACAAAGACACAGCACGGGGCGACAAAGACACAGCACGGGGGGCGACAAAGACACAGCACGGGGGGGCGACAAAGACACAGCACGGGGCGACAAAGACAACAAATGCACCTGATCCGGGGACGACAAAGACAGATCAAATGCCGGACTCTGGCGACACAAAGGCAAGACAGGCACGATTCTCGATCACTAAAGACACGAGGG